AGCTATCCAATCAAGATTCAAATTACTGCTTCAATTCAATGAAACCTCAACCTTCAACATGAGGACGGATTCTCAGGAAGCAAAAGTCATCAAACAAGTCTCACTTATCATGTGAGATAAAGCTTCAATGAGCTTGTGTAGTGCTTTTAGTGCAATAAATCATCTTCTACAAAAAATAATGCAAAATCATACACCATTTGGTGGGAGATTTTTGACAAATCTTCCTGTAGTTTGCAGGGATGGAAGGTAGTCAGTAATCAATGCCTCAATCAAACAACATAAATTCCAAAGACTTCCACTAACAATTAGCATACAAACTGACCCCACTGAAGAAGATTTCACTTCATGGGTGCTTAGACATGGGAATGGGGAGATATCTCCAGTTCCAATAAAGATACCCGATAAATTCATCACAACAACACAAGTAGAAAACTATGTTTATGAAGCCAATATTGATTCTGGTAATGTTTATTCCAATAATTCACAGACGATACATTCAAAATCAACATTAAAGTCCTGCAAACTTACCTGAGGACACGACTGTTTCCAAAGACATTGACAAGAAAGAGTGGTTCCTCCTCATGAGTTACATTTGAAGATAGAATAAATTATTATTCTATTATGAAACCTTAACCCTTTCGCATTAGGTAGGTCAAAGTGTGCATTTCACAATCTTTCACAGAGTTACATCCAAAATTTAATTCAACTACTTTATTACCAATATATGTGAATAAACTTGGCATCAAAACATAAATAATATTAAAATTTGATTTATTAAGCAAGTTTTAAGTACTTAATTTTTATAAGGCAATATAAAAAAATCCTGAATTTTCCCTAGTAGGAGAATTGTGACATTCTCTCTCTAGGCATCCTCTCTTCTTTAATTTATTTACCACACCTCCAAAAAGTACGAAATTTAACATAAATTACTCAAACAATGTTGAGTTGGCAATAGCTCTCTCTTACATTTAGTACTAAATTATTTATAACAAATAGAAAGCCAAAGTTTTCATCTATCAAATGACATATTATTTTACAGAGAAATGTTAATTTCTCTCTCAGTACAAGCTTCGTTCCCATGGGAAACACGTAGACTACCTTGAATGAATTTGTAACAGCTCTTGTCGCAATGTTTGAAAGCCGGAAAAGTTATTGACAGTTATTGGACACATTCTGCTTTTTGAATGTTATTTTTCTGTGTTCTTTAGAGCATTATTTAATTAAATAAAAAAGTAGTACCATTAGAAAAAAAAACAGGGTTAAGTGTCATTGACAGTCAACAACAACAAAAGAAAAAAGCCCAGGTAAATACTTTATTTCTTGTTCTTCATGTGTATTATTCATTATTAATAAAGTAACCAAAATATAAATTAACATTTTCTTAAATCAAAAATGTATTTCCAATAATTCTTACTTCTTCTCACACTTACAGCTATTATTCAACTGCTCGGGTTTCTTCCTTTGCCCATCTAAGCATTGGTCTGATATTTTCTCACTTGCTCCAGTTTTTTATACCCCATTTAATTGCCCTTGGCGATATTTGTCTTGTAACTCTCTCTACCTATGTCAATGCACCCTTTGTCCTGGTTCTTTATAATAAGCACCTCATTCAGATAATGTTATCAATTTTCAAGACTGACACTGGCTTTTAGTTGGAAGGAAGAGTGGGAAAGTGTCAGCAGAGGTAAGTATGATTGGAAATACATTTTCAATAAAGGAAAATGTTAACTTTTAAAACAACTTCCATCCACTTACACTTATAGTTAAAATCCCACACTGATAAGATGGAGGGCCTGTGAGGGCATTATCCATACAGAAAGTGTCTCCATAGATCTTGGATGTGTCAATAAAAGATTGGCACTCAAGTGGGGGAACCGCACTACATCCAGAACAGGTAAGCTCTTCAGCCGCAGCTTAATTCATATACTGTGGGTGGAATTTTACATGATTTGTCATCACTATTGGCCAGGCCCCAATCAGATAGCCAAGGTTCCACTACTTGGGGTTGGAATTATAGGGCCATGGTCCTTTTATCCCACATTGATGGCTAGAGCAATTGGACCACAACATATATACATACACACTAGCTGGAGTACCTGTCCCCTGAAGTTATGTAAATTCATGATTATTGAAAGATTATCTTAGAAAATGAAAAGTTGCTTCCCTTATATGTAATTGTAAAAAATGCACAAACACCCATACAAACTGCCAAACAAAATGTGACAGTGCAAATATGCAGGTATCTTTGCATGGATTTAAAAAAAACCTTCATGCCAAATTTGGTGAAGATCCATATACAGGGGGGCAATGTAGTGGTAAAAACTCCCATAAAAACTGCAAAATGCAAAATAAAAAACTGAAAATTCGTATGTCCCCCCACATGGACATAATGGGCCTCCACACAAATTTTGGTGAAGAACCATCCATACCCTGTGAAGTAGTTACGTGGACAGATGACAGACAACAGACAGTACTATTATATTTATATAGATATATAACACTTGTAAATGGATCCCAACCTGTAGCCATATAGTGATGTGTTCTGAGCCACTGGAATCACGACGAGAAGGTAAGCAATGCCGAAGTGTTGAAACCTTCTCCTCAACCTGAAGAAGTCTAAAGGCAACACCCCAAACTCAGAATGGCAGAATACTTTTTACCATACTCAACCTGAAGAAACAAAATTCATCTGCCCCGGAATTATGACCACCCATCTTCACTCCTTATCCAAGTGACCAAGGTAAATTCTTCTTGTCTCCAGAATTATGGGAAAGATGTGGAACAAATTGTGTTCAACCAAGAACCCAGGATGGAACCACTCTGCATTCGGAATTATGAGGAAACAATGAACCCACTCCCATGGACAATGTACTAAACCAATATCGATCAAAAAGAAGGGTCATGCACACCTCAGGCAGAGTGTCATATATGAATCTGTATTACAAGTAGGCTCCCACTTAGGCTGGTGCCTCTCCTACTGACATCTGGGAAAAAAACTTCCAGGAACCTTGGTAGGAGGGCCCCCAACTTAGCCCTCTTCTCCAACAGTGGAGGAATTCACTTGAACATTCTGGGGGAAGAACCTCTGTCCACCACTCCCTAGCTGTATATTGGGAAGTTCCCTAAATTTTTAAAAATAAACCAACCCCGATTTATTCAATACAATGATCAGCAGGTATGGGCTGTATCCTCTTATGCTTTACTTATGATAGTCCATGAGTGGTAGTCCAGCATAGTACAGTAATACCACCTGGTAAGCCTCTAACTGGTCTTATAGAACACCTCATTTCTACAGATACTGTTGCAACCTAGATAAAATATATTGAATTAGTGGTTGCTAGTGCAGAATTGGTTTGATAAAAGCCCACCTGCCTGGGCAGCACTCACTACAGAGTGGGATCCAGTGAAAATGAGGTAAAGGACCATGAAAAGTAAAGAAGAGACAAGGGCAGCAATGACAATACTCACCCCTCTGTTAAATCTAGCAGATGTGGTTAAGATAGCTACAGGGGTTAGTCGAAAACCCTCAGATGAAGATACTGCCAGATCATGCAAATAATGTGAGATAAAATTATTGGGGGAAGCCCACATACCAGCCCACACAATGTCCTCCAGTGGGCAATTCAACCAGGTCACTAAGGACAGAAATGTGACGAATCCGATGAGACATGACTTGTATAAATCTCCTCACCTACAAAGAGAGTCCAGAATAAGTGATATGGATCAATTTCGTACTCATCTCATCAATGTAACCAGGGATAAATCCTGGGAAACTGAATGATCCCAATGAATAAAGTAAATGTCTAGCATCTCTAAAGGCATTAGTGCAGGCAACAAAACCTTTCTTTGCTTGCTAGCTCAAATAATGTTTGGTAAATAACATCTTAAAAAATTTGATTTTGAAACATCTTAAGAATTTCATGCACATGGATCATATTTCTAGTTTAAGAATTAATCAAAATCACAATTAAAGTAATTTTGAAAACTTAAAGTTATCACTTTTATTTATTACATAGCACTGAACAGTGGCAGATAGCATATTTTCCAACATTCACCTAAAATCTAGGATTCTATAGTTTTTTCATTTAGCAATCTGGTCTGTAAATGGATTGCTAAGCTGCAGTACAACTTCTCAATGGTTTGAAGTTGGATAGCCCTGATGCAAATTATAAAAATAAATAACATCATCAACACATTATACTCTTAAAACATATCAACTTGTGGGTAGGCCCTCTCAGAGGTTCAGAGTGGCCCTGCCCAATCATTTGAGGCCCCTGGCTATAATAAAAACAAAAATGATGACACATGAAAAAAAATAAGACAATCATTAGCCCAAAAGAAAAGTAAAACATAATTTCAATATTTAATTTGCAGCTCTAAGCTGAGTGTGTGTGTCACATTTTGGTCTGATTGGGAGGCACATAAAAACAAGCTGCAAATCTTAACAAATGCAAGAATTAAGTGTCTAAATTCGAGGCTCCTTTTAAGACTGAGGCCTGGGCCAAATGCCCCCCCCCCCCTCTAATTGGCCCTACTTGTGGGCATTAACTATGATACAGTTATTGAAATATTATTTGAACTGACAACAGTTACTCAATCAATAGAAAATTTTGTAAATACTTCTTGCATGTTTTATAATCCCTGAAGAGACTTAAATCTTTTTGCACAACACAGTCACTGGAACTGATATTCACATTGTTAATAACTCACACAACTATAAAATTTTAACAAGCGAGAATTGTATTTTAGTCAATAAACTAACTAAAATAGTCTGTCTGAGTGCATAATGGGTATGTTGGCATTAAGTAATACTGTAAAATGCAATGCTACTGTATGTGATACCACCACAACATCCCACGTGACGAAGATAAAAAGGGGCACTAACCCAGATATGTGATGTAGTAAACAGAACAGGGAAGCACAAAAAGACTTATCCCTTAAATATCTTTTTTTTTTAAGCGCATTTTTCAAGAAACAAACAGTTTTATGTACAGTACTACCTTTCCTGAAATCCCATCTTCTCAACATCATATTTAAGTTTCTCATTCACCATCTCTTGCACTTTCTTCTGCATCTGCCATGAGGAAGTCTCATTACTTTCCTAAGAGAAAAAAAGTTTAGGTTTTTAATTACCTGCACACAGAAATACATTCATGAACATTTTACAAACAAAAGTCAGGATAACAAAGGATCTATACATTTTGGAGCCTAATTATACAGGAATGGTTGTTGTTTGTAAAATGTTCCTGACCTTTAAAATGTATAGATCCTTTGTTATCATGAATGTATTTCTGTATAATTAGGCCCCATCTTTTGTTTTCTTGCAGCACACAGTTATTCTTCAAAGTAAGCAAAAACATTTTAGAAATATTATTAACTTATTACTCAGAGATCTCATCACAGGAGATAAACAAAACATACTACAACCCAACAATACCAAAAGTTACCCACAACACATTATTATCATCTATAACTTATAATAATGATCCAGTTTCACTTTTTAATGATAAATAGCCTATCAGCCAAACCATGAACATTTCTTCCATATGTTGTGTTAACTACATATTGCAGTCAAGCATGTAAGTTATCAAATGCCTTACTAAGATATCTACTTCCCCTTAGAAAGAGCCAACGTAATGTACATACATGTTTCAGTCAGCCACAGTATGGTATTGCTCATAAAGCTTGAGAAGCAGAGAGAACTTTGTAACATGTTTGCTGGGGTCTTGTGGGGACAGTACTCATGTGTAATGATGTGCCATATTTAGTTTAAACAATCTATTACTTACCATTTGTGGGGTGTATATTTTTATTGTCTAAAAAATTATGGATGAGGAGTAAGTTTATATCTCATAGAACTTCTTGGACACTTACAATTCAATACATTTCAGTTTATTAATAAATTGGACACTTACAATTCAATACATTTCAGTTTATTAATGAATTAACTTAATATTTTATTGTACTTTGTGAATTTGGTTCCAAACAGTCACATTCTGTTTTCATGATATTATTTATAAACATAAATTTAGATGGCTAAAGATTTAAAATATTTTCTTAGTCTCATTAATTTTTTCCTCTTTTACCATGAAAAAAATAAGTATTGGTGATACTTGGATGAATCTATTTTTAAGCAGATAACTTATCTACATAATTAATCTTCTATAAATACAACTGGAAAGAAGAAACATCCTTTTTATATATACAAGATCTTCCATAACTCTTTCTCCTTCACTGGACTATCTTTTTTCATTAACAGTTTCATACTACTATACTTTAAGATTTTAATTAGTAGTCTAGAAATAGATATTTAGAAATGGATTTTTAACATTATACATTTATAGCATCACAAGAAGTTATTAGATAAAATCTCGACTGAAGCAACCAGAAGCTTATACATTCTAAAGATATGGTCTTGGTTTTTCCTTGATATATTTTTACTTTCTTCTAAACAACTTACCCCAGCCACAGATGTAAAGTTAAGGACACTCAAACAGGCAGCTGTCATGTTACGAGACGTCTGACCGAAGTGAGCTCTTAATGCTGAAAGATCCTTTTCTGTGAGGAACTTCATTTGGGAAAAATCTTGCCGAAACTGCAGTAGCTGTCTCCATAGAGCCAATAACTGATGATGCTCTTTGGTAAAGTAGTCATTAAAAGACTACAAGAAAACATAAAAAAACAACTAAATTACTATATAATACACACTACACAGATCTTAAAATGCATTTTACTTGTTTTCTCATCAGCATATTAGCCTCAAAATTTCATATCATTCTTCAGATGCAATATAAATATAAGGTATGCAATTATTCAGAAACTGAATAAGTAGAGTTGTTTAAACGTTTGTTTAACAACAAGTAAAAGCTCGGAATGGTCTATCCTTTCATTGAGGTGTGCGTCTGTGAGCCAGACTAGTTTCGGAGAATTCCACTCCTCAACAGTGACCTTGGATTGAAATATCAGACCAAACCAAGCCTTTATACTAGGGGTCACTGCTGAGGAGTGGAATTCTCCAAAACTAGTCTGGC